CCTTGCTTTCACGTCGAGCGAGATCATAGTGCGCCTAGCGCTCGCGACCTGCCGTGGTCAACCTCTTTAATGCAAAAATAGATGAGGTTTAAATTAAAGGATTATTTCCCTAATACATTCAAAAATTCAAAATCACCTCAATGTGTTTCACTGCGTTATGCATTGTACGGCCTGATACCACGCATGGTTACCCCCTCACACACACACAATATCAGAGCAGCTGGGCAAAATGCCGAGATCAACAATACGGGGAAGTCAGGTGTGGTTAGCCTGAGTAATGAAAATATAGCCTGCAATCATGTTAAAGGTGTTAGTTGCGGTCCTTTAAGCCTTGCAAGTTGGACACCCCTGCCTTAGGCCTTCAATACCACACGAAGCCGGAGCATTACCTTAGAAAAGGGCAACAGTTCGCATGCAATCTTCCCTTTCCTATCCTTGTTCTAACAGGCACGTACACACACGTATTCCTACTTGCATTACACTTCCACACGTGTTAGGAAGCTAGTCTACAGCATAGAGCTTGTCTCGATTAGGGGTGATGTCGGGAGTGGCAGATATATAGAAGGGAAACTCCACTAGCCAGCGTGCTGGTCGGCAGCGGATTTCACGTTCCCACCGAGGAAAATACACTGCTATGTCCTGTGTTACAATATGCACTGCACTTACGGGCCTAATGACCATAGCAGATAATGCGTCAAAATACGCTTAATAATGAATCCAGAACGCATATAACAGCTAACATATCTAGTCCTCAAAGTCGTCTTTCGTGGCTTCCCAAACGACCACGCATTTTCAAAGTGTTTGACGTGCACAGAACGCCGATATCTACTGCTCTAATGTGTCACTGCTAGATCGCCAGACAAACGCATTTTAAATATGTGAACTTTTAAAGAGAAGTGAGATCAGTCTGACTTATTTCATGTTACCCAAAGTAATGCATATTGTGAACTTATCATGGACTCACATTTGTTCTTGGATTTCCTTATCGACCATATTTTGATGTTAACTGCAGCGTGTCCTTGTGAATGTCAAGCCAGTTTTTTCCCGAGTTCTCTGTGTGACAAGCTGTGATGCAGTAAGGATAGCATTCATGAAAATATTGATAATATGCCTCTACACCACTGTCGGTTGTGAAACATATGAAATAGGAATTATTTCTGTGTTAACACGGTTATCGTTTCATCTGTGTTAATCAGTGCGATACGTTTGTTATTTATGTGATTCATATTTTTGAGTTCTCTTCTTAAAATAAATGTAATCCAAATTTTAATCTTATATTCTTACACTTTCTTATGAGTTAACACCGAAATGTGTACCTTAGCCTTTCGTGATTGATTGTTCCTTGTCGAAAAACAACTCCTTTACGACACTTTTCTTTTACAGTAAGCTGCAGTGTTTTTGTTTGAAATGCGTGGATTTTATATTTTAAATGTTTGATACATGTTTTGTTACGTTGCTGTATGTGACGTTCTGTATTACTTAATACTATTCCTTATATTGTACTGTGTATCCCCGTTTCACAACGACTTTGTTGGAGTGTGTTGCGTTGTGAGATACTGTTCTGAGTCGTGTAATTCCGAAACATTGCACCTCTTTGCGTGGGGTTACATTGCGTTGTAAAATGCGGATACACCGTACGTTCCACGACGGAGACACGCTCAGTCGCACAATAAATGTAAACAAACGTTTGGTACCACGTTTCTCATACAGTGGTGCCAAAGTAACAAATTCAAGTGAAAAGCCAATTCAAGTAATAAAAATATTTTTGTTAAACTGTTCCTGTAAAAGTGGATTCTTTAAGGGATGCAAAGCAATCTAAAACGTCAAATTTTAGCACTAGTGCTAAAAGTAAGAGAACGCTCGAATGTTCAGATAAAACTGTGAATACAGCAAATAACACAGAAAACCAAAATACTTCGCATCATGTACCACTCATCGTGATGTACCAATAAGTGATTTGTGCTCGAATGAAAGTAAAATGAATGTCAGTATAGATGCTTAAAAATAGTGTATGGCACATATGGTAAAATTTACTTTATTTTGCTTGTAGGATTTCGTCACTCTGCCTATCGGCTTCGTGTAGCAGTATTTCCTACTCGCAAAATAAAATGTCACTTTATCATTTGTAACATAAATAACTATCATGCAAGAAATATGAAACAAAAGGGTAATCTGAATAATAAGTATGACAGTACTTATAAAAAGTTTGCAAAAACTGAAATGTATACAACGCCATCGACCCAGTTTCATCTGAAATGAATAATAAAGTTTTATTGAATTATAAAGTTATGTTAAAATTTTACACAATTATATTCAGTGCGGAATATAAAGACCAGATGTTAAGTTTTCGGTGTAATATTGCAATTTTTAAAGTTGTTTTCTTTCGAGAACGGATGATGTTATAATGTATTTGTAAAACATTTGAGCTGCCATAACACAATATATTATAACTAGCGTGTTATGTGAAGCAATGAAATCATATTATCCAGTCCGTGTGACAATGTTTTAAAGTTGAAGCCATGGCAACAAGTTATAAAATGCATCGTCAGGGACTTGTTTAACCTCTACTTTTTTATTCCAAACTGATCGAATTAAATAATCCCAACTTTATATGTGTTCATCAGTGTGCTAGTTTTTGGAAAATCATTTTCGTGGTTTTCTTCAGTAGGGTTTTTCCATTTTGTTTCGACAATGCAGTAGTACCAAAGTTGTAAGCTCTTGCGAACTCCCAGGTTGGAGCGACCATCGGCATATTACATAGATTGCTCAGGATGTTTTGGAAAGGAAGATCATGGTTATATGAATAAATCGAATGTGTGAATCTTTATAGTTATTAGTTTTTGTAAAATGTTTAAATGTTTTTCATTTATAATTTTTTGTTCAAAATTCACGTATTTGATATGTAAACTTTGAAACACTACTCCAGACATATAAATTACAAGATTGGACTTCCATTGTTCTGAACATTTCATTGATCTGTCTTTAACATTCCCGAAACTATACCTACATTTATTTTACTAATCTACTTCACCTTTAACTACCTATGGCAACGTGCGGGATCTGTTCGTTGCTAATACTGACGTTTCAACATACGGCGCGTGTTCTGTAAAGTTAAAATGTAATCTTCGTTAGCGCATATTTTCGTATTCCACAGCTCTTGCTGCGACCCGCAATCCCAACCTCTTACCCCCCATTGCGAGTGTTGTGTTATTCTAAATGCCGGAACCTGCGGTAAAATGAAAGTTGTTAAAGAAACTTTGCTGCCAGGATATATGGCCAAGGTGACTACAGCGGATTCCAACTAAAGAACTTGGTCTGAAGGGTTGCAGATTCGAATCCCGCCCTGTGCACCCGACTCGCTCGCTTCTCTCTTATCTTTCTTATCTCTCTCCACGCACACACACACACACACACACACAAAACGCATCTCACTCTTGTGCTTGTGCGAATATAGGTGTGTGTGTGTGTGTATTTGTCGCGGTATGTCGGGCCTGTCTGACCGACATCTATGGAGCGTGCCGGTGCTACTGACTAGTGTATGATTGAATATACTCTGCACCCGGGATGTGGAAGATTGTGAAAAGCTGCCTTAATTTGCGTTTATTTGCACGTGTCACAACTCTTGCGTACATCCCAACCTCCGACCTACATACGTGTTTATTTATGTTCACTGTGGTTACAAAGAGCCGGAGCACCGACTCAACTAGGTGTGCCGATTTTCCAGCTTTCGTTTTTATATACCAACCCGCCAGGTCGCTTGACATGCGCATGCTTTCTTCATTTCTGCTCACTTTACATGGAACCTATTTAATTTAAATAACTGTAAGGTATATACTAAATGAACTTATTACATTTAAATGGGTATGTCACTTTTGTTTTTAGTATTTATATTTTAACAAAATATAATACTATTCTTTCCAGACTATTTTTTCAACCTTGATTTTTTCCCCATTTCTTTAGGGGTGCCAAAGAGGACGGGCTCAATTTTTTGATTGATTTTCCGTACATTCCATTTTTATTCTCATATGGAAATGCTTTTATGGCCGGATGCCCTTCCTGACGCCAACCACAGGGGACATAGACACACACACAATCACGAAAGACACCCACCTATGCCCGAGATGGGATCCCCGCAGGGGGTATCGTGACTGCGTAGGTGGTCACAGTCTGGTGGAGAGTTGTAGACGACCACTCGGAATTTGAGTTGCACGGCGGCACTCACGTCGATAGCTTCAATGTGGAGGCAGTGAGTTGGCGATACTAAGCTTTTATTTGCCAGACCTGCCCGCTAACCCACCAGTCGGGCCTATGGCGCGTCGACATTTGCGCAGGATTGGGTGAAGAAGATTCATCGGCATGCTCTGGAATTCAGTAGTAGAAGTTCGGCAGGAACCTGATACCACCCGCCACATTGCGCAGGATCTGGCGATACTCACGTCAATAGCCTAAAAGTGTATGCAGTAAGGAGTTGGGAAGAGGGCTCCAAACCGCCCGAACCTTAGTTCGGGTGGCCCCCAGTTGGAGACTCGGCTTCGTCGTGGCAGTGGCCCGATATTCTGGGCAAAGAGGACAGTCTTGTGAATTCGCTCCGCATGTGAGTGGCGCATTGTTTAGATTCATACTAGGCTGTATAGCTAGTAGCTGTGAGCTGGCAGTGTGTCCCAACCCAGATATTGAATGAGGAATTTTTGGCAAACTGGCGGGATCCGAATATCAGTCTGGCGACGTACTTGTGCGCCGTCGGGGGCGGGGGGAGGGTAATGGTAAAGAGCATAAAGCTTAGGAATAAACCCCGGGGACTTGTGCCCCTTAGTAGAACAAGAATTGGTGTGAAGAGGTGATACGTGCCCAAAGTGGGATTCTAACCCACGATCCTTCGGTCCGAGACAGCTATGGTACTAGTGCCTTAGCGATCTCGGCTACCCGGATCAGCTACTACCCTTTCCTGACTAATTTTGCTATTTGCATTGCTGTGACCCGTGGCGCGTGTGCTGTTGCAGATGCCGGAGCCTGCGGCGGGGACTGGAGCGGCGGCGGCGACGGCCGGGAGCGGCGGCGGGGGCGGCAGCCGCGTGCGCACGCTGGTGCTGTCGCGCCGCGCACGCGTGCCCTCGGGCGGCGGCGGCGGCGGAGGCGGCGTGTTCGGCTTCTCGGTGCGCGGGGGCCGGGAGCACGGCACGGGCTTCTTCGTGTCGCGCGTGGAGCCCGGCTCGGAGGCACAGCTGCACGGCCTGCAGGTGCGTGGAGGCGTGGCCCCTGCACGGCGCGTGCGAAAGCGCACGTTCGAGGCGATGCAGAGCGTGGCGTGGCGTGGCGTGGCGTGGCGTAGCGTGCGTGCGGGCGTGCTAGGAGCCGAAAGCGCGGCCGGTGGAGGTTGTAGAGAAGAAGTGTCGGTTGTCCTGGAGCTGTAGCGTAGTACTCATGTTATGAGCTATAAGCTCAAGTTCTCGAAAGTATAATTTTTTAAGGAATCCGGCTTGTTCCCTCAGCGTACTATTAATATTATGAGCTAACGTTCAGCTACAAATCATAATAAAGAAGTGTCGGGGTTTTTGGTATGCTGGTGCATAATATCCCGACTATTTAGCTAAAAGTTCAATTATTGGAAATTATTCTTAAGAGTTGTTTTCCAGGGCTATCAGAATTACCATAAATCTCGCTAACTGAAATTCATGTACCAAAGATTGATGGTTCAAAGATTGTCGTAGACAAACTGTCCACGTCTCTAATAGTACGGTTTGCGAATGCAAATTTCCCAAAGTCCGTTTTCAGAGACCGTCTTCTGGTTTTAGGAGCAATCGCTCCAGAGTTTCCGTGGCACATCCAAGCATACGTAGTCTCACTTTCATATTAAAAAAAAAATTATTGTGGGACGCCATTGTGCGGTCACGCCTGAGGCCGCCTGCGATACGACTCGGGCCTAGAGGCGTGTGCGTGCGCGTGCCCGTCGGCGGGCGCCGGGGCGCACGTTTGGCGCGCGGCGCGTGCCTCCATCGCCAATGTCCGTCCCTGTCGTGGCCCCGGGGCGGCGCGCTCGCCACGACGCGAAGAGGCCTGCCTCGTGGGGTTGGGCAACGCCGTTAATTCGTTGGTGATGGCGTCTCAAGTTGCAGTTTCGTCACACTGTTTCGTTGGTGTTGTTTTGCAGGGGAAAGGCTCGCCTGGTATTGTTTGATGCTGATAGTTTTTGACGTCATAGAGGTCTCGCACTTTCTCTGATTATTTTCCTAATTCCCTTGTACTGCTTTTGTTGATTCATTGTTTGATGTTTACTACTGCTGAATTATTGTACGTTCAACTGCTACAATAATTAGTCCCGTTAATGTAGTGTATGTTTTATATCCGGGGGTGCAGTGATCATCCCCCCTAGATGATAAGGTCCGGCAGAAAGCGTCCGCTTGCGAGGGATTCACTCCTTGAGGCCAGACCAGAGCGAGTTATCAACTCCCCACTGATCTCTTGACATGTGTGGTAATGTGGTACATGTAAGTGTGTGTGTGTGTGTGTTTAAAAGTGAAGAGTGGTCAAGGAAGAGGAAGGCAAATCGCGCGCTGTCTGTGGCCCATTTTGATAGTGCTGTACTGGCAGTCCCCTAATTTTTGATACGAGAAATAACGGAAAACTTTCGCTTCGATCAGCCGGTCGATAGAATTCTTCTCCAGACAGTGGTTGAATTGAACCTATGTAGCTACAGTCGAAAATCTGCCACCACCGGGACTCGAGCCGGTCAGAGTCGTGCAGAAACAGCGACAATGCTCGCTCTGAACTAAACCCAACCGATTTATTACTTTTCATTTCACCTCTTTGCTTACGTAAATTTTCCGTATTTTCTCGGTTTTATCTCATGTTCATTCTTTGCCTTTCTAAAGCAGTCCTTTTTAATATTATATATTTTTATTCCTGCTTCTATTCGCATTCAATTCCCAGTTTTCCACCTTATCTCGTTTGCAACGACTCTTTCTCCGCTTTGTCTCCTTCATGCAATTTCCAAATTATGTAATTTTTACTCCCGTTTTTTGTTCCTGTGTGATTAATGGTTTACAACATGTGTTATGTTCTTTCAGTTGGATTAACTTGTCCTTGTTCTTTATTTGTTCTTACGTTATTCAAATTTTTAATTTCTTATTGTAACTGTATTGTTAGATCGGGTCCATTGATCATGATTTTCTGTCCAGTTTTCGGACTTCCTCATGGTAAATGATAAGTTTCCACTTTTGCTTCTGTGTATGTTAGCTTTTCCCCTCTTCTGAAAACGGCGTATTGAAATTATAAGGTTTTTGCCGTAAATAAATTTTTTTATGATATCAATATATTTGATTTGTTAACGATCTAAACGTCGTATAGATAAATTTTCTTACGAAAAATTGGAATTTGACCCAACGCAGACCTTCTCAACAGAGCGGGTAGTTCCGTTCTTATTTCGCCCTTGTTCGTGGGAAAACTGGAATGGACTGGAAGTTGGTAGAAAACAGGAAACTGCGGCGGTACATGGCAAATGACGGGGAAACGAGGAAAGCCCACCATAAATCTTGCCAATGTCTCGACCCGAAACTTATTCGTGTGTGAAAAGGGAAAACCGTAAATGAAGTATGTCCCCCTGAAAATTAATACATCCTTTCTATCAAAAAGTAGACTTGGCTATCTGCCCTTGAGATTGCAATTTCTTTTAAATTTTACTCGCTTTCAAAACCGGCCTCTGCGAGTAGAGGCTTAGAGCATCGTCCAAGTAGGCGGAATCGAAGGCTGCGAATTCAAGTCCCGTCTAGGGTGTTTCCCCCTTGTGTTGGGCAGGGCACGACACCAAATTCCGTCTACTTCATCATTCAATCCGTTTTCTTCATTTTTAGTCACCAATCACCCCTCATCATTCGTTCAGTAAGAGGCAACGGCGGATATGTAGTGAGGCAGTGCCTCACTGGAGAAGATACCTGGAGATGTTAAAATACGAATGCCGACGGGTAGGTCGGTATCAGCGCTGACGTGGAGGATCAACCGCATCCTCCCGGGATGTAACATGCTTTACACTCACGGAACTAGAGACGTTTGGCGTCGCCGCGCCCGTAATCAATAAATACCACTTTTCAAGAAAGTTGCCTTTTTGTACTTAGTCAAGAAATGCCCGCGTCGTTGTGGCGAATTCGTCGCTTCCGTAGCGACCTTGTTCCCTCCGGGAGGTGCCTGGTGGTTCGATGAAGATTCTCCGAAAGGTAAAGGGTCACGGCCGGGTGGGAAAGAGAAAAGAACACCAACTACATAACAGGTTCGTCGCACACCTTTTTGCCCAGTTATATAAAGTTCCTCGAAAAACGACCTCTCCTCTCCTTTGGCCATTTGCCCCATTCGACCCGGCATGATCAGTAACTCGCGCGGCGCGCGGCGGCGGCGGCGGCGGCGCAGGCGACGCTGTAAAAACCGCAACAGGCGCCCGGAGAGCTGTGGGCCAAGGCGAGGATTAGTTTTTATAAATAAACATGCAAACAAATACATAAATAAATAGATGGATGGATGAATAACATAATGAATGGACGAATGAAGAAATGGATTATAAATGAATGTATAAATAAATAAATATATAAATATATAAATATATAAATATATAAATATATAAATATATAAATATATAAATATATAAATAAAGAAAAAAAGAAATGCATGAATAAGTGAATGAACCAATAAAATATTTTTGTAAAACTGGCGGCAACAGAGAAGCAATCATAAGAGTGTGGTATTCGCAGTACATTGAATAGTGAAACATACCTTGAGAAAAAAGAACACAAAAAGATGTTGCAGAGTTTGGTGTTGCCGAAAATTGTCAAGAAGAATTTGTTATTGCGTTCAAGTTTCTGATTAATTTGCCTGCAAACGCATCTTTTGGTCTGGTGCTGATGGATGTAGTAGTATACGAATGAGAATGTAAACTCTGTCCGTTTGTCTTCATGTTTATTAGGTGCATTCACTTCATGTGAGTATTTAGTCCGGGACGTTAGGCAACCAATCAAGGAAAATAAAACAATAAGTAAAACTCATTACTTCAAAACAACACACTGTGTAAATAAACTGTGACATAATTTAATTTTACAAGGTGGAGCTGTTAATTATAATTGATAAGTATATACAGTATTTAACAGAAGTCATTCGCAGATCATAGAATAACACCTAAGAATAACAAGTTATTAAAAATGTTTTGTATTTATTAATAGAAGATGACCCTGAAAGGGAAAGAAACTCTTTAAATCACATAAATATAATCGTAAAAGAAACTTATTGACGTTAGAATATCACGTATCATTAAAAAAAATAAAGTAAACCGAAATCTCAATTTAAAATGAAAACATGATATTATTTTAAAAATATATAAAAATGAATATAATGTATGTATTAAAGGTATTTTAATTGTAATACTTGAAAAAATATAACGAAAAAAAAGTAAAAAATCGTACAGATTTTTTGTTTCTTGCATTTTTATTGATATCGCGAAAATTTGTTTTGTGTGCTTCGTTGGTGTCGTTTCGACCCACTGCATGTCTCCGGCGCGACCGCAGCATGCTTCATCGGCGCTTCGCTCGCGTCTTTTGTCTTCCGCGCAGCAGCGGGTGTCCATTGTTGCCAGAGACCTCGTGGTGCAGCGGGTCGTAACTGCTGCACGATGTCCTACGGCGCAACCAATCCCAGGAGACCAGAGGAGTGCAGAACTGCAAGCGACCTACGGTGTAACAAATTGCCCGATTGCAGGAGAAAACTAACCGTTAAGTCGGTATTTTTGTGTCGAGGAGAAATTTTATGGGAGCGTCAGGGAAAACGTCTGGCTTGGAGGTGTAAAACTTGTTGTAAGCTTCAGATGCGGCCTCTTGTTCTTCACACGTATTAATATTTCAGTTAACTGTTTGGAATTCGGCCATTACTGATTTTATGGTCTGCGTAGCGATACAGACTGTTTCCAAACGGCGTTCCAATACTCAGTCAAAATATTTGGATGTGCGTTCCAAACAAAGCATGGGGATTTTACCATGATTTTTTTCGTATGGTTGGCTTCTGATTACATGCTACCTGATCATCATCGCAACTTAAATCAAATACCATTCACCGTTCATGATATCTCTTTTTACAGTGGAAGGCATATGCAAAGTACCATTCAGATTACGTGCCCAGAAAATGGAATGATAATTAATAGAAGATAACCCCTTTTATTGCCTACTCTCAGGACATAATTCTTTTAACTTATCGCTTTTTCGCATTT